TTTGCCAAGTTGAACAGCCGCCCATCCTGTGCGTCTGATGCTGCTGCCTCTCTGCCTTGATCGGGCGCCACTGCTCGCCAGCCCTCTGGACCAGCTTGACCACCATTGAGCTTCTTGCTGTACAAACGCCGTGCAAACCTCACCCTCACAATCCCGACCCCACTGATGCTGCTGTTGTATAAACTAAACTAATCAAATTAATCATTTGAACTAATCAATCATTTAAACTAATCAAATTAATCAATCACCCATTACAGAACTGACTCTGTGTGTTTTTCCTTTCTTTCTTTCCTTTGCCGAGTTGAACAGCTGCCCATCCTGTGCGTCTGATGCTGCTGCCTCTTCTGCCTTGATCAGGTGCCACTGCTCACCAGCCCTCTGGACCGGCTTGACCACCATCAAGCTCCATGCTGTACTACGCTGTGCAAACCTCACCCTCACATCCTGACCCCACTGATGCTGCTGCCGCTGCTGCTGCATGAGCTAAACTAATCAATTTAATCATTTGCTCCACCTGTTTTCCCTGTTTTTGTACTAACAATGTTTACTATCCGGTGTCGACCAGAGGAGGATGGGTTCCCCTTCTGAGTCTTGGTTCCTCTCAGTGTTTCTTCCTCTTGCTCTTAGGGAGTTTTTCCTTGCCACTGTCGCCACTGGCGACGCTCATGGGGGCTTGGACCCGGATTTCTTTCTGTAATGCTGATTTCCTTGTAAAGCTGCTTTGTGACAACACCTGTTGTAACACCTGTTGTGCTATATAAATAAACTTTACTTACTTACTTACTACTAGTGTGTATGTGGAGTTTCACTGCACGGATGGGTTAAATGCGGAGGTCTAATTCCACAGTGTGCAAACACAGTTGGCTAAAAGGTTCATTTCAATTTACACTTTCAACCTTCTCAACAGGAGAAACATTAGATTTATTGACCATATCTAAGACAATTTTACTTGACAAGATACTATTTTTGCCGTGCAACTTAACACTTTGAGACAAGTATGTGATGTAGCATGCAGTTAGCACCATCCTAACCGACAGTGCTAATAGGCGTCCATTACTTGTTAGCTATGTTAGCCTTGTAGCCCCAGTGCTAAACTAAAGAAGCAAAGTTTGAATACCAAACACGTCGGATTGTTTACCTTTGAGGTAAGGTAAACTTGAGTTTTCACCAAATTGTCATTTTTGAACAGATTAAAAAAGTGACCACAAGCTAGAACGTTCTCTCTCAACTGGAGCCGTCAATACCAGCAGGTTTCACAGCTATAGAAACTCATTTGAATCTCAGGGCTGGCAGTAGAGGCCTTTGGTATGCAGACAGAGAGTTCTTCCGGTGGAGGATTGATAATCTTACAGAGATTATCAAGACAAAGAAACATCTGGTAACTGATCTGTCCACGCCTGGAACTCAGATATGTACGAATAAACAAAGAGAGAAAGCACACTTCACGTTCAAGTGCTGTCAAGGTGAATCCAACTCCTGGCCAGAACATCTCCTCTCCAGAATATCCTGTCTTCTGCTTTGGTCTTAAAGGGGAATTCCACCGATTTTTCAAAATTTATGCATAATTCAGTGTGTCAGATGTAAACAGAGTGATTCAGAGTGGTTTGGTGTGAAATGGTTCAGATGTCTTTACAGTGGTGGTGATAGGAACCAGGGGTCGCCATGACTACAACACAGATATAGACATTTTATTTACTATCCAGAACCACCAGTGAACCTACACGAGTCTTCTGAGTTTATATGGAATATTAATGATGGTAAAATAGTTAAAAAAATCTTTTTTTGCCTCACAACACCCTGCATGTATCCCTCCACCATGAATGGATTACAATAAATGATTACCCGTTTTAGGCCCAAACCTCATGTCTCGGTCATCAGGCAGTGAATTCATAACCATTTCATGTAGTAACTTTCTGTGAGGGAGCTTTTAGAGGTGGACGTCTGGTTCCTATCACTACCACTGTGAACAATTCTGACTCGGTTCGTTTCTCTAGAACCACACCAAACCACTTTGAATGGTTCTGTTTAGTCTTGCAACTTTTTGAAGCATCATTTTCTTTTCAAATAAACTGGCTCTTCTCATAATTTGTCCTAAATAAGAGCTTCGGTTTGATTATCTGAGCTTTGAGTGAGAAGTGAGGCCTGGTCAGGCATCCATTTGTTTGTTTTCTCCAAAGTGCTCTCAAAAGTATGGCGACATATTCCTGCCAGGCAGAGGAGAAAAATAATCATTTTTGTTGTTCCCATTCTCTGATTCTGGTAGAAATATGTCACAATATGAGCCTTATCAATATAAATTCTTCTCATAATATGTCCAACATAAAATATTTTCAGGTTGGTTGTATGGGCTTCAACAGAGACACCATAGTAACCATCTGGCAACACCCTGGCAACCCTTGGTTACCTTAGCAACTGCTTAACAACACATTGGCAACCAACTAAAGTAGCATAGCAATCACCTAGCAACAACGTAGCAACAATCCAGCTACTATCTAAAAGACAATTTTCTGCTTTTTTTATTTAAAAATGTTTTATTATTATTATTATTATTATTATTATTATTACTGCCATTTGAAAACAGCGGCTGCTTTTAACACTGTGTGAACAATTTCATGATGAATGGACCAACAGAAATGTTCCAAATTTGCATAAAACTAAAATCTCATTTACATTAACGTACATTAAAGTTAAGAACATTCTTCCTTCCTGAAAAGTTATAGTTTACTTACGACAACAACAACATTATGTAATATATTTTAAATATATTTTTTCTTTTTTTTAAAGAAGAAATGGTGCTTTACATCATGGAGCATGGTATTACAGTGGAAGTACATACGGTATCTACATATTTGAAATATATTGACATGGCATCATATTACACTGTGTTGCATTTGTTCTATGGGAAGTTTCATGCACTGCTGTAAACTACATGCTACAGTCCTCTGTTACCCCATGTGGTGGGAAGTGTGTGTAAAATTTTCTCTGGCGTTCTCCCTCCCTCGCCCCCCCCAACGTTTCCGAATTCCTCCGATTCTTCTTGGATTCCCCAGCCCCTCCTCGCTGGACGCGCTATGACACTTAAGGCCTTTCTGAAAGGCCACACCTTGTCTCCAGCACACCTGAGGAACGTGTCTGACCAGTGCAGCTGGAATGCAGTGAAACTCACTCAGGGAGGGCAGAACAGAGGGGTGGAACTGTGCTTTACATCACAGAGCTGATCTGGAATCAGATTTAGGCCTTATTACAGTGATTTGTGGTTCTATGCGCTGTCTAGATCTGAACAAAAGTATTCAAACATCGCTGAATAAAGTGACTCACGGAGAAGTAAAAGTAGGATAGCAAAAAACAACAGTGCTCCTAGAAAGCTGAGCTCCTCTACACTCAAATAAAAAGGTACTAAACTGTTCCCTCAAGGGTCCATCTCAGTACCTTCAGTCAGGGAACATAACTGAACCATAATCCACTGAAATGATATGTTCTAAGCTGTACTGACTCCACACACCCCGTCTCGTCTCCAGGCTTTTATTTTGACTGTTCTGTTTTAAAACATTCGGTTATGAAAAGGTACAAATACGAACTTTTCACCTGGAAACACTTATTTAAGGTTCACAATCAGACCTTAAAACCGCTGTTGTACCTTTGAGGGAACGTTTACACTGTTTGTACCTTAATGAACGAAAAATGTACCTGAACAGAACCTTTATTAATAACAGTGTAGATATCTACAGTGGAACTTCTTAGTCCATCCAGCGTCTATCAGCACGGGAGCTACGAGGCTGAAACTGGCTCCTTTTTGAATTTTCCATTCCACCTTAAATGGTGTAGCTGTTACATTATGGAGCTAGAATGTAACTGCTGAAGTCTGAATGTAACTGCTGCATCATTTAAGGTGGAATGGAAAATCTGAGAAAAGAAGTTGGTGAAAAGAAGTCAACACAGAAACCGAAGTTGGTTGTTAGGCCGTATTTTTCTCTTTTTGGATCCTTTTGCTCTAAAATAAAATGTTTAAGCTCCAAAGCGAGAGGAGTGAGCTACAGTAAAGCTACCCAGGACCTGATTTAAACCCAAAAAGGAATCATGTGAAGGACTTAGATTCATTTTCTAATAAATATACTTGAGTATAAGCAAAATTAGGTCTATTATCACTTTAAAAAAAGACAAAATATGCATATTTCATCACATATAACTGAGTAAATGAGGCCAGCCGAGGTAACTGATCCAGAGACAGCACTTCCGCTCTGGCGTGTTTTGTGTATGCAGGCCAAAAGAGTTCCTCCCTCTCTACCTCGTCATTTAGATGCCATCCAGAGCATGAGAATGAACACTGGCTCATTCATATCAGATCAGCAGCTGGTTTCACTCATATTTAAATGACTGTAACTGCCATCTGCTTAATAATGATAACAACACATTATATTTATATTGAGCCACAAATACAAATACAAATACTATGTAAATATGAATGTGCTTTCAATTACAAATATAAGATGTGAGGACGACAAATTGATTTAAGAAAATATCTATCAACGCTTCATACACTGAGACATGATTTGGATAATATGAATTAATTTAAACCCCCTTAACAAATACAGTAAGCCTCAGATTTATTTTTTCAGTGGAGGTCAATGGAGGTCAGCAGAGGTCAGTGGAGGAATCCAAACCACATGCAGGGCTAATTCATCACGAGCTTCCATCTTGTCGTTTTCTTTCTGCCTTTTCAGTGAGCTCTTTGTCATTTTGGCATTGTTTGCCATTTTTTCGTGTTGCTGCTCTCTCTGGAAGCACCCATTCTTGCCCCCGACTGACCGCTGCCATCGAACAATGAAGCTTTTCACAGTCAAACCACTCAGCGCTGCCTTTTTCTCGCCCACTTCTTCAGAATAATAAAACCCCAGCCATGCTCTTGGAGGCCTATGGGTGAAGCTGGCTCAGGAAGGCAGCCAATGGGGTGCTCTGAGGTGGGCGGGGCCAGCCAGCTAAAAGCAGGGTGTGGTCCAGAAACTGGTGGGTGTAGTCTTTATACAAAGTGTGGTTAGTGCTCATGTTTAAATTGGGAAATTCAGTCACTCTCTCTGGCCTGTCACTGCTGAGCTAAGCCACTTTAGCTGGGAGCTGCTTTTAATGAAGGACCGGCTGATTTGGAGGGAGCTACAAAGCAACAGGAGGAAAAGTCTGAGAAAGCAGCCACTTTAGTCTGGGGGTGGGCCTTCCACTCCTCTGATTTGGAGTACACTTTGGAGATTTTGAAAGCTGGAGGGGCTCAGAGGGTGAAGGATTCGAGAGTGGGCTTCAACAGGTGAGGAAAGGTTGCTCAATGATTTTCTTGCTTCAGCTTCACTTTTCCACACTGTCTCTGCTTTAACTCATTCATTTTCTAGCTTTTGTCACACCTGAGCTGCTTTGGGAGGGATTTGAAAGTCCAAAGAACTCCAAAGGTGAATGTTTTTCCCTTTTCAGTTTCTCTTTTTCCAGATTTTCTCCTGTTTATCTGAGCCTGTATCTGTAGTCTTTATCATCACTGCCTGTCTGTGACTGTGTGAGCAGATATGCTCCTCTCTTCACCTCACCAGTCTGACTGGCTTTGCTTTGGTCAGGTTTAGGCTCATGCTTACACTGTGAGGAGGAGGAGGTGGTGAGGCAGCAGTTGCACCGCACTCATTTCAGCCTTTTATCTCCTGACAGAACCTTTTCATTCAAATAACTGGCTGTTTTAGGCGTAATTAGAACCATATGTTGGCCTAAAGGTAATTCCCATTTGAGCTTAATGTGATTTGCTTGCTTCTAGGCTAGAACACCATTTAAATAGCTTAAAATCTTTCACTCTGTCTCATGTGATCAGTTCCTTAAGGTTCCCAAATGGTTCTTGACATACGTTCCTAGGGGGAAAGAGTCAGTACAGACTCTTTACATGATGTGCTTAGAAAGGTTCTCATGTACAGATCCACTGCACTGGGTGTAGGACCTTTTATAGTATGTGGAGGTTCTCTAACATCCTTTAAAAGGTTCTTCACATTCACAGACCCATCCATGGAACGGTTCTTCAGTGGTTCTGTCTCCTAAGAACACTCGGTGCCTTTATGTTACACGTGTACACCCTTTAAAGAAGGGGCTTCTTCAAGGGTTCTTTAGTAAAGGCATATATAGAACCATGACACTTCAAAGAACCTTTTGCATGGTTAACTGGTTCTTCTCTCTGATGGAGAAACTGTTGTATATGTTGTGTTTTTAAGGGTTCTATATAGAGTCAGAAAAAGGTTCCACTATTGTTACAAGTTAAAAGCCTTTTTTTTCTGCTATATAGAACCGACCTCTACAGTTTTTCTACAAATTCTTTCTTATTTTGTTGCAGTTTTTAAAAAGATGGTTCTTTAAGGGTTCTTTAGTAAGGACAGTGTTTCTGTAGAACCATGAACACTCAAAGAACCATTTACATGCTTAGTGTTTGTTGCATGGTGATATTGTTCTTCAGATTGATGGAGAATGTGGTGTATATGGTTCTAGATAGAACCTTTTTTAAGGGTTCTATGTAGGGCCAGAAAAGGTTCCACTACTGGTATGAGTCAAAAGGTTTTTTTTTTGCTTTTCTGCTATATAGAACCGATCAGTACAGCGTTTCTAGAAATTCTTCTTTATCTTGTTACAGTCTTAAAAAAAGATGGTTCTTCAAGGGTTCTTTAATAAAGGCAGTGTTTCTGTGTAGAACCTTCAACACTCAAAGAACCATTTGCATGATTAAAGTGTTCTTCATGGTGAAATTGTTCTTCACATTGATGGAGAATGTGATGTATATGGTTCTAGATAAAACCTTTTTTTAAGGGTTCTATGTAGGACCAGAAAAGGTTCCACTATTGTTACAAGTCAAAAGCTTTTTTTTTCTTTTCTACTATATAGACCTGCTCTGTTTCTTTCTTTTGGTACAGTAATTAAAAAGATGGTTCTTTAGTAAAGACAAGGTCATATATAGAACCATAGCACCAAAAAGGGTTCTGCTATTGTTAAGTTAGGCTTGTAACAATAGAACACTTTTTGGTGCTGTATAGAACCCATTCTCCATCAATCTGAAGAACTATTTCATCATGCAGAGAACACTTTAAGCATATAAATGGTTCTTTGAGTGTTCATGGTTCTATATATGACCTTGTCTTTACTAAAGAGCCCTTTTAGAACCATCTCTTTTAGGGATGTGTGTGTTTTATATGTAAAGCTTGTGTTCCTGTCTGTCTGATTAAGCTGGTCTTTCATTACACCCACTCAGGAGGGTCAGTTCTGTGGAGCTGCCGTAGACGGACGTGTGTCATGTTCTAGGTCACGTTTTTCACTCCTGTCGTCTGATTTTCTCACAGATCACCTTTGACCCACATGTGATGAGCCAGTGCCGCTGACATGTGGTTATGTCAGCGATAGAGCCATCCAGTTTGACATGTTTTATTGGACTAGCTGAGCGCGCACACGTGTTTCTCGGATGGACTCACGCCCTGTGTGACTAATCACTCAGGCCACAGTGAGCACAGCGAGCGTTCAGCATCACTGCGTGGCTTTGTGTTATACAGTCTTCTATAGAAGCGCACTTAAACTCCATTATGGGGCCTTGCATTCTGAAATTAAAGGGAAACTCCAGCAAATTTCAACCTAGTAGCAGCAGATATAGCACGGGTCATTCTCCATTTGGATGGGAAACCCATGTCACAAAGACTGCAGGGCTTAAAAAGATGCTTAAAATATTAGACGCAGCTCCAAAAGTCGGTGTGTACGTTTACACAGTGGACCTGAGATTAAATAACCTGAGATTAAATAATAATTCCCTTATTATTTCTCTGATTTTTCTTTGTTTATCCTGTTTCATAGTCGCTCTGCGTCTGTAAAACAGCTCGCCACAAAACCCATTTTCAACCATTTTTAATATAAAACAATATTTTTAAGAGGTTTAACTCAGGAATTTGTATAAAGCAGATTCATGTTTACATTTTATATCATTAACGTTAGACTACATTTAAAAAATGTGTATTATATTTAAAGAATTCATTTGTCACAGAGATTTTGGTCACTGATGTTATCAGGACTCTTATTTTACATTTTAACAGTATTTTCAGCTCTATTAAACTGCTTTTTTGGGTCGAGGCTCATCAGAGAGGAAGCGTCTCGAGGCATAAGAAGGCGAGTCACACTCGCTCACTATATTTCATTAATTTATTGATGATTTTGTTAATCAGGCAGCTCATAACTTCTATGTGTCACCGGTGTTTTGTGCTTTAATGGATGGGTAATTAAAAATTTGTCAAAATTATGCAATAAATCTGATTTTAAGTAGTTGCACAAGGTCATGTGACACCAATGAGTCAGCCAATTTACAGAATCCTCAGTTTTAACCAGAACGTCACTGGAGTCACCGTCACTGGTGTTACACCATATTCATACAACACCAGTGACTGTAAAATATGTTTGGAATTAAGCTCTCCTTTCTGCATATATGATAATAGGAGATGTTAATGGACATATTAAGATTATTTAGTTTGAGGATAAAAGAAACTGATTTTTTTAAATGTATCCACCTGAATTCCCACTCCAAATGGAGAATGACCCGCATATGACTGATCACCACAGACACTCGTTTTTAAGCACGTCCCTGTACTTAGAAGAGAATTGAGAAGTGACTGAGTCAAGTAATGGAAGTTAATGGGCAGACGTAGAAACACCTTCCCATAGGGTTCTATTGTCAGTGCATTTGGAGTTGAAGGGCCAGTTTCCCAGCCCCAGGTTAAGCCTAAACATAGACGACAATTCGTTTTTAAATGGTGATTCACCACTGGCACTGCAGTTTAGTCCAAGACAATGCTTAATCCATGTCCAAGAAACCGGCTCAATGAGTCTTCTGTTGTTTTGTAATTGCTGGAGTGTTACTTTAACGTCTAAACCTCCATAAACCTGTTTGCTAGATGTAGTAGTTTTGGACTCAGCTGTAATGTCAAAGGTATTTTGGTGATCCATCATTCAAAAGCCAGATTTTTTAGTCTTGTCTTTTAAAGTAAAGGTTCCTAAATGGTTCTAAGCATGGATGTACACGTCTTTACTTTAATTGATCTAGAACTTTATATAGATGTTCTCTAAACTCAGTTATTTTCACCTGCACATCTCGTTTATAAAACTGTTTCTTTGTAGAACCATCCATTGAAAGGTTCTTTAGGGAACCAAAAATGGTTCTCCTATAGCGTCACTACAAAGAACCCCTTTTGGGCGCTTTTATTTTGTCTACATTTACATTTAAACCTCGATATGAATGTAACATGTGCACAAATATACATTTCTCTACTACTGTTTTACTAGGCCTTCTTATTTCAAAGGGCAATTTCACCAATTTTTCAAAAATTCTCTATAATTCAGTGTTTGGATGTAAACAGAGTGATTCAGAGTGGTTTGGTGTGAAATGGTTCAGATGTCTTTACAGTGGTGGTGATAGGAACCAGGGGTCGCCATGACTACAACACAAATATAGACATTTTATTTACTATCCAAAATCACCAGTGAACCTACACGAGTCTCCTGAGTTTATATGGAATGTTGGTGATGGAAAATAGTGGAAGATCTGAAACTAATACGTTTTCTTTGCCTCACAATGCACCATGAACATATTTTAAAAATATGTTTGAGGCCAGAATTTCTCAAAACTATCATAAAACAGTGTCTCAGACATCAGGCAGTGAATTCATAACCATTTCATGAAGTAACTTTCTGTGAGGGAGCTTTTAGAGGTGGACGTCTGGTTCCTATCACCACCAAGTTTCACACCAAACCACTCTGAATGACTCTGTTTACATTTTAACCATTTGATTAATTTTGAGAATTTTTTTAAAGTCGCTGGACTTTCCCTTTAAGTTTAAACTGCATTAACATGAATAGAATCTATAGGTTCTCTTGGTGGCCTGTTTTGCTGTAGTACCTGGCTCTGCTCTCTATCACTGGATCAGGTCGAGCGCAGCTCAGATACAGTATTATCTGCTGCACCTGGCCAGGTGTTTCCTGTTTGGTTTAGCGTGTCTGTCAGTGTTTACTCAAACATGCTGCTGTGTCCGTGATAACATAAATCCCCATCAGCTGTTAAGTAGCTCTAATCTGTTCACCATCAAAACTGCCTGCTGTGCCACCTCTAACTCCTCTCCATCTGCTCGTTTCCAGTTTTATTGGTCGTCTGAGTTGAAAGAAGAAAGGATGGGGGAGGTCATCGCCAACATCATGAAGTTATACGACTATCTCCTCAAAAGAACAGGTGAGTGCGCTGTGATGATGCCTCCCTGACCATCACGAGCACAATTTATGACACTGAGTTTAACTCTCCGATTATTTTTATCTTGAGCCACTTTCAAGAGACTGTTTTCATTATTTACAACACCACTGAGGTGATAAAGGGTTGTCATCAATATTTTTGGTTATGCCGCCTAAAGCTATGATACCACTTTATTAGAACCCCCTTTTTTTGGAGCTCCACCTTGCTACAGTTAAAGACTGTAGCCTCACTGTTTTATCAGCCACCCCCCTCAACGCTGTCCATTTATGGAGTGCCAGCACCATGTCTGTGTTACTGCTGAGCTGCGAAAGGTCCACCACCCAAATAACATCTAGTCTCCAGTGATCCTATGGTGATGTCTTTATAATGATGGGATAAAGGGGGCAGTAGCAGTCTGTAATACACCTATATAGTGGAGCTATAAGGCAGGTGTTTCTAATAAAGTGGCCAGTTAGTGGAAGCACAGGGTAGGTGTTTCTAATAAAGTGGCCAGCGAGTTGAAGCACAAGGTAGGTGTTTGTAATAAAGTGGCTGGTTAGTACAAGCACAGGGTAGGTGTTTCTAATAAAGTGGCCAGTTAGTGGAAGCACAGGGTGGGTGTTTTCTAATAAAGTGGCCAGTTAGTGGAAGCACAGGGTGGGTGTTTTCTAATAGAGTGGCCAGTCAATACAAGCAAAGGGTAGGTGTTTCTAATAAAGGGGCCAGTTAGTGGAAGCACAAGGTAGATGTTTCTAATAAAGTGGCCACTTAATACAAGCACAAGGTAGGTGTTTCTAATAAAGTGGCCAGTAAGTGGAAGCACAAGGTAGATGTTTCTAATAAAGTGGCCACTTAATACAAGCACAAGGTAGGTGTTTCTAATAAAGTGGCCAGTGAGTGAAAGTACAAGGTAGGTGTTTCTAATAACATGGACGGTGAATGTAATTAATTTATTCGTGTGTCCTCAGATGCCCGAGTGCGGGACTACCCTTTAATGCAGAGTCCTGTCCAGATGACCCTGATTCTGCTGGGTTATGTGTTTTTTGTACTGTACACTGGGCCGCGTTTCATGGCCAACCGCAAACCATACAACCTCCAAACAGCCATGGTCATTTACAACTTCTGCATGGTGTTCTTCAATGCCTACATTGTTTATGAGGTGAGTGTCTATTTTAGAACACATAAACATAAATACAGTGAAATGTAGTCCGAATGTGTTGTGAATACGTAGGTAGGACGAATACAGTTAGAAGAACACAAATTTGGTTCCTGATGTTTTGCTGTTCTCCAGCCGTCAATGGATTTGTTCAGTTCCATCAGCAGCACCTGCTTTAATTTAATGAGGGATTGCTTTGATAAACCATGTACTGGACACTAACTGTGAATACTGGACTGGAGAGCTTTGGAAACAGTTAAGCCAACACAGCACAACCCAGTGGAATAATTGTTTACTTGTATTTGTTTAACAAATAAATGTTTACTGTCCACATAATTGGCTTTTTACATCCGTTTCTTAGCTGTTAGTACTGTTTATGATTTTAATAGATCAATATGAATATCTCCACACAGTGATGACGATGAAGGGCCGTCACAGCTAATTGATTAAACTCAGTAACTGGATTACTGCATTGATAAGTGATTGTCAGTTTGCATGATGATGATGCAATATAGAAATATGAATAGGGAAGCGAAATATCAGAATCATATCTGTATCGGCGCTGGTATGAGTGAATCAGAGAATGCAGAGAAACAGATGGACTACACACACACACACACACACACACACACACACACACACACATAGTGGCCACGTACAGGAAGTCCAAGTAGGTGTTTCTAAAAAAGTGGCCACTTAGTGGAAGTCCAAGTAAGTGTTTCTAATAAAGTGGCCAGTTAGGTAGGTGTTTCTAGAAACGTTCCCCAACATTATAAGTGGGGAAAAAAATAAAAAATGAAACAGAAAAATATAGGATGAAGGCTGTTTAAAGGTTTTAGACAGACAGTAGAGACAGTAGAGGGCCAAAAAAAAGAAAAACAATACAGACCTAAAGGTGAAATCCACTTTGCCGTGTCTCTGACGTTTCAGTTGATGGAAGAAAGTGACTGGCCTGTATTTGAAACGCCCTCCCCGCTAAAGTGAACGCAGATTCCACAGCAGTGATGCACTATGTGTGTGTGGGTGATGAGTTAAAAGGAAGTCAAGGATAACATCAACTCTAATCTATCCGATCAAGGCCATACGGAACACGATGAACCGAGGGAAGAAATGCAGTCCTACACAGCGCAGACTGAGTTATGGAAGCTTTAATATCTCCTGTTTTTCTCTCTCCCTGCTCCTCAGTTTTTGATGTCTGGCTGGGGCACAACCTACACCTGGAGATGCGACCTCATCGACCCGTCCAGCAGTCCACAGGCCCTCAGAGTAAGCAGCAGCGTCTGTATGATACAGTTGTATGCAGAAGTTTGCGCCACATATACATATTTTGTTGATGTTTAACATGAAGTAAACATGTTACTCTGCTATTCTGCTATATCAGAGTAACGAGCTCCGCCCACTCGCTGCACAGCCGGCAGTTCGTTCTCCAGCTCCTTACACTAAATTCCCAAACTGTCATCACCACTGAGCAGCCTTTCAGTCAGTAGCTGTGACAGAAGAACAGCTAAACAACTTGGAATCAGCCAGAAATGAACCCAATACCATTCGCCAAACGTGTAGTCTGATCTTCAGAGTCTCACCAAATCAGACTGAGCTATAAAACTGCTGCAATATCAGGTTTAGCTCAGTTTTGTCAGTTTTTGCCAGATCAGTATTAATGTTGTTTTGTTCCAGCCAGTCTGTAAAGCATCTTACAGCCCATTTAGTTTGGCGAATGGTGTTGGGTTCATTTCTGGCTGATTCCAGGTTGTTCAGCTGTTCTTCTGTCACAGCTGCCGACTGAAAAGCTCCTCAGTGGTGATGACAGTTTGGGAATTTAGTGTCGTCTCATCTTCAGAGTCTGACCAAATCGGCTGTCGGTCAAATGTGATCTTAGAAGTGTCCATTTTCTGTTTGTGCAAAGTCAGAACTACAAAAGCTTTTGACTTGTAACCATAGTGGAACCTTTTCTGGTGCTACATAGAACCCTTAAAAAAACACAACATATACAACAGTTTCTCCATCACAGAGAAGAACCAGTTAACCATGCAAGTGTTTCTTTGAAATGTCATGGTTCTTTATATGCCTTTACTAAAGCACCCTTGAAGAACCTCCTTCTTTAAAGGGTGTACACGCGTAACATAAAGGCACCAAGTGTTCTTAGGAGACAGAACCACTGAAGAACTGTTCCATGGATGGGTCTGTGAATGTTAAGAACCTTTTAAAGGATGTCTGAGAGGCTCCACATGCTATAAAAGGCCCTACACCAAGTGCAGTGGTTCTGTACATGAGAACCTTCCTAAGCACATCATGTAAAGAGTCTGTGCTGACTCTTTCCCCCTAGGCACGTATGTCAAGAACCATTTGGGAACCTTAAGGAACTGATTAAATGAGACAAGGAAAGATTTTAGGCTAGTTAAATGGTGTTCTCACCCAGCATCAATCAATCACACAAAACTCAAGCGGGAATTAACTTTAAGCCAACATGTTGCTGCTGTCAGATCAAAACCTCGTATCTCCAAAATGGTAACTTTACAGGAGAAGGAAAGAACCTTCTGCTCAATGGAGCCAGACTTTTATCATTTTCAAATCATGTCAAACACTGAAAAATGACCCAAATGGAGTTACGAGGTTTTGTCCTGACAGCGACGATATATAAATATAAGTGCTGGGCGATATGACCTCGAATCAACATCACGATTAATATTTACCTCGATTACGATTAATGTTTATTTTGTTTTTGTTTTGTTTTTTTTTGTTGTTTGTTTTTTTTTTTTGCCCGATAGGAATTCATGCCACTTTTACATTTGGGGTGATATTTTCGTACAAAAATGATAAGAGACTGATCCAAAACCCTTCATGTTTGAAGAGATTTCTAAAGAACTGTCCGAACGCGGCCGCAGGAGAACGAGGCTGCGGCGTCAAAGAACAGTTAAAAGTCTGAAAGCAGTTTAAAGAATCCGAGGATGCGAACCAAAGAAGTGACCGCGCCCTTTTTACGGCTCCAACACATTCTGGGTGATGAGCCCAGCTGTCAGTCAGTGAAGCTTCATGATGGCTCCTGTGATGCTGGTGAAGATGAAGCTGATCGACTGGCGTTCATGGGCGGTTGTGATTGTTTACCTCTGGATGAGCCGTGAAGCTCTGTTCTTTTACACATGTGGGTCAGTTTAGGAGCTGATCTGTTCAGACTGATGTTGCATACAGATCACATGTAAATAATAATGTGAACAGAGAAACAAAAATATCGGATTTGGTGAGAAAATCAGATTTGGGCCACTTTTACCTGCTGTGTGAACACAGCCTTAGCTTCCATGTCGCAGAGTGGACGTTGCGGAGTCACTTGACTTGTAGTAAGTTTTTAAGGGGACAGATTAACAGAATTTTAAAAATTGAAATAACCGATATGGGCAAGATTACGTCAGTTAGAGCTTCCGAATGTCAGTTTTGATTACTTTTCGATTAATCGCCCAGCCCTAACGTATATATGTCCAATTAGTCGTTGTTTGTGTTTTCCTGATGGGTTGATATCACAGTGTAAAGGACCCCAAGACTAATTCTAGGGCTGATTCTAGATGCATTTGATGGTTTCCTAATGGGACCTAAAGGTGTCCATCAGGAAACTGGTGATCTCTAATAATAACCATTGAACCAATTCCTGTTACAAAACCAAACCTTCAGGCTTCAATCCTAATGGGTCTAATAGACTTTTAGTGAACGATATTCGCCCCCATCTATGATTAGCAGTGATGTCGTCGTGATTCACACATTTATTCTTCTTGTAAAATTGTCTGTACTTCCTGACCACTGCAGGAATGTCAAATATGTCAAACATTTTACATGAAATTTTAAATATGTACGTTTGGACTTTTCCTCATATTTTATTCCACACTATCAAAATCCACGTTCTTCCTCCAGATCGCCAAAACTGTCGAGTTAATAGTGAACTGCTGCAAAAATCTTCACATTTTCACAATCGGTTCCTCAAATAGTTATCTATTGAGATGGACAGGTCAAGTTCACACTCGTTAGCCTACACCACACTCTTAACAAAAGATGATTCTTTAAGGGTTCTTTAATAAAGAAAATGGTTCTATATAGAACCACGAACACTCCAAGAGCCCTTTGCATGGTTAAACACCTTTAAAGTAGGGGATTCGTCAAGGGTTCTTTAGTAATGGCATATATAGAACAATGACACTTCAAAGAACCATGTGAACGCTTTGCACGGTTAACTGGTTCTTCTCTGTGAGGGACAAATTGTATGTGTTTTTTTTTTTAAGGTTCTATATAGCACCATATAGCATAGGTTCCACTATGGTTACATGTCAACATGTCAAAAGCTTTTTTTGCTTTTCTGCTATAGAACTGCTGTGTAGAGTTTTTCTAGAAATTCTACCTAAAAGCATTTTGTTACACTCTTAAAAAAGATGGTTCTTCAAGGGTTCTTTGGTAAAGACAGTGTTTCTGTATAGAGCCTTGAACACTCAAAGAACCATTTTCATTTAAAGCATTCTTTGCATGGTGAAATGGTTCTTCAGATTGATTGGGAATGTGCTGTAGATGGTTCTATATAGAACCCTTTTTAAAAAAAGTTTCTATATAGCACCCAAAAAGGGTTCTGCTATTGTTTCGATATCAACTTTATTACAATAGAAGAATTATTTGGTGCTATACAGAACCATCGGCAGCACATGAAAAGGGTTTTTTTTGAGTGTTCATGGTTCTATATATAACCATTTTCTTTACTAATGAATCCTTAAAGAACCGTCTTTTTTTAAAAGTGTACCCTGCTGAAGAAAGACCATTAGAACCATTATGGTTTTGCTTTCTAAAGGGAACTGGCTAAAGTGTTACCATTAGAAACTAGTTTTCTGTAGGACACCTTTAGATCCCATTAGGAAACCATCAGAACACAAATCACTGATACACTATATTGCCAAAAGTATTCACTCACCCATCCAAATCATTGAATTCAGGTGTTTCAATCACCTCCATGGCCACAGGTGTATAAAACCAAGCACCTAGGCCTGCAGACTGCTTCTACAGACATTAGTGAAAGAATGGGTCGCTCTCAGGAGTTTAGTGAGTTCCAGCGTGGTACCGTGATCAGATGCCACCTGTGCAACAAGTCCAGTCGTGAAATTTCCTCACTACTAAATATTCCACAGTCAGCTGTCAGTGGTGTTATAACAAAGTGGATGCGATTAGGAACGACAGCAACTCAGCCATTAAGTGGTCGGCCACGTAAAATGACACAGTGGGGTCAGCAGATGCTGAGGCGCATAGTGTGCAGAGGTCACCAACTTTCTGCAGAGTCAATCGCTACAGACCTCCAAACTTCATGTGGCCTTCAGATTAGCTCAAGAACAGCATAGAGAGCTTCATGGAATGGGTTTCCATGGCCGAGCAGCTGCATCCAAGCCTTACATCACCAAGCGCAATGCAAAGCGTCAGATGCAGTGGTGTAAAGCACCGCCACTGGACTCTAGAGCAGTGGAGACGTGTTCTCTGGAGTGACCAATCACACTTCTCCGTCTGGCAGTCCGATGGACGAGTCTGGGTTTGGCGGTTGCCAGGAGACGGTACTTGTCTGACTGCATTGTGCCAAGTGTAAAGTTTGGTGGAGGGGGGATTATGGTGTGGGGCTGTTTTTCAGGAGTTGGGCTCGGCCCCTTAGTTCCAGTGAAAGGAACTCTTAATGCTTCACCAAGAGATTTTGGACAATTTCATGCTCCCAACTTTGTGGGAACAGTTTGGGGACGGCCCCTTCCTGTTCCAACATGACTGCGCACCAGTGCACAAAGCAAGGTCCATAAAGACATGGATGAGCGAGTTTGGTGTGGAAGAACTTGACTGGCCTGCACAGAGTCCTGACCTCAACCTGATAGAACACCTTTGGGATGAATTAGAGTGGAGACTGCAAGCCAGGCCTTCTCGTCCAACATCAGTGTCTGACCTCACAAATGCGCTTCTGGAAGAATGGTCAAAAATTCCCATAAACACTCCTAAACCTTGTGGAAAGCCTTCCCAGAAGAGTTGAAGCTGTTATAGCTGCAAAGGGTGGGCCGACATCATATTAAACCCTATGGATTAAGAATGGGATGTCACTCAAGTTCATATGCGTGTGAAGGCAGACGAGCGAATACTTTTGGCAATATAGTGTAGCTCAAACCTGTGTTTCAAACAGATGAATACAGATGTTTTCTTATTCCCACACAGCTAAGTTACCTCTGAACATAGTTTTACTTAGCAGCATTAGCTAGGCAGATAAAGTTATTTGTTCTTAATAGCTTGATATGTATTAATAGACGTCAGCGTCAGGGCGTTGGTATTACTAGTGTTACTAATTAGCTAATTAAAGCCCTTAAACAGTCTCATAAACTGCATGTAGTAAAATATTGTTTTGCATCTTTATCAGCTCTATTAACACTCATAATTAAACAATAATGTCAGTAAAACGCAAACTCTATTTAACCTTCATAAAAAGCTCTTATGAAACCAAATTGCACCTTTTCTGCTTTGACAGAACTATTGCCAGGCAGCCGTTGGTAGACATGCGCACTCCTTTCCCAATTGTTTTTTCTTTCTGGAAGCAAACAGCTGTACTGCAAACGCCACTCGCAGCCAGGTGGGAGTGTGCAGCCTGTTTGGAAGAACAATTTTTCTGCAAATATTAATGCACATTTACTTTGTTTGATTTGTTAAAAATAAAAATAGAAAAATTATTATTAACTGTGGCGCGTGAAAAACGTCTAGACACCCTACTAAGTCAGTACTCATACTGCAAAACATGACATCCTATGAAGTGATATTTCTCATTATGAGTTTGATGTAGGCATATTATAAGATTATTTAGCATTTTTCTAGACATTTTTTACTTGTTTTAAGTAATTATATCTTATTACTTTGGCAGATTGTTTTACTTAGTTTGAGAAATAATGCAGATATTTTGCTTTTTTTGATGATGTGCCAATGGAATAAGACACTTTCATAAGATAAAATTACTCAAAACAAATAAAAAAAAGGTTTAGAAATAAATTAAATGATCTTATGATATTCTTACAACAAATTGATAATGACAAGTATTAGACATATTGACTAGATTTAAGATTTTTTCACTTGCTAAGAGATCATTTTTTGCAGTGCAGTATGTCCCCACTGTAGCAGATATCACGGCTTTCAAACCTCCAGCTTTCAGCTAAGAGTCTTTCTATTCTTGTTTTAGGAATTTTCACACGCTCTTCCTTACAGAACGCTTCTACTTCTGCTGTGTTCTTGGGCCGTCTTGCATGCACTGCATGTTTTTAGTGATGTTCAAGGCAGGGGCCTTTGAGGGCCATTCTAAAAGCTTCAGCTTGCGTTTCTTGAAGTAGTTCATGGTGGATTTTTTGAGGTCTTTTGGATTATAGTCCTGTTGTAGAAGCCAGCCTCTTTTTTCAGCTTCAGTTTCTTGACTGACTGCGTCACATTTGCTTCCAGAATTTGCTGATAGTCAGTGGAATCCATTGTTCCACCTACTGTACAGTGTATTCTGCACCACTAGGGTAACCACACAACCCCAAAGTATAACAGATCCTCACCATGTTTAACACTAAGCACAGTGTCCCAGGTTTCCCTGCTTCCAACACACCTGACCCAACTAGTTAGATCATTAACAGCCCATTATTGAGTTAAAGCAGGAAAAGCACTGAAACTGAACTAAACCTTCCTGCAGGCCCTTTGCTGTCATATGGGGGTTTTACTTTGCCTTTCTTGCCTCGACTTCCACAGTTCCCCTTAACTGCCGTTTCTTCATACCAATTCAGACAGTAGAAATCTTGACCTTCAAGCACTTTGATATCTTTTCTTTGCCTTTGTAGGCATCAGTTAGCCTTCTTTTTCAGATCCTCAGCTGCTTAGAGGAGCTTGTGGTTGATGAGTGTTAGCACGTGGTTTGAAGTCAGAGAATACATTACACTCTGGAAGTGTCACCATCAATTCCTAATGACAATTTGTAACCTGTCTAACTAGATCTAATGAGTCAATTAAAGACTAAAGACTTCTGAAACTTTACAGCTTGAAGGGTGTCCAAATTTTTGCACATACCACAATTACTCTTTTTGTTCTGTTCTTTTTTTCCGTCATCAATATGAAGTCGATGTGCATTACTATGGGCAGAAAATTGTTATTTTTTAAAAATTGTTTCTGCAGATATTGTTTACTCTTTCACTTCAAAAATCAACAAAATATGTAATTTGGCCAAACCTTCACATGCAACTGTATCTTCTGTGACTACTCCAGCAATTATTTTTTATTTTTTTTTCTGTAGCATTCAGTCAATTACCACACCAGACAATAATTTCAACATGTTTTCTTGAACTTATAACTTATGAACTTATAATTTAACCAAACTTATAATTTAACTCACTAGTTCAAAATACACTTATAATAGAAACCAGAGGGCACTAGTAAACATTTAAACATAGATTATCTTTGAATTCTTTTGTCAAAGGTGTCTACATGACACATCAGACGAGAGTTCTGGAGGGAAGAACCTGTGTTAATTTATCAGCGTAGTTGTAGTGGCAGCGGTTTCACTTCATGCTTGTTTTGGGTATTTTTTTTGTTCTGCGTTTTGTCTTCAGTAAGTAAAACGCTTCTCAGAGGGGCTCTGCTTGGCTGATTTGACTTGGCCAATCAAGAACATTCCTCTTTTTTGGCCCTCAGGAGCTACAGTGGGTGCAGTAGTATGTTTGGGGTTGCTGAGTTGCCACATGCTGAAAAATCATTAGCCTTTTTGAGTTTTGAGGCAGATCTGAGTTTGTTTGGATCTGATCTGATAATCCCATAGCTAGATTTGACTCTAGGACTTTTGTAGACTCTTGTGTATCGCTGATGTCAGAACAGAACCTCGTCTCTCCATTTTTGTGATTTTTAGTTTTTTTACATGAATTGGAAATGCCTGTTGCCCTTTACACGGTGCATACATTTTATGATGAATGGACCAAAAGAAACAGCCAAAAATTAACAGGGAAAAAGTTCTGGTTCCATTGACTTACATTAAAAGGAAAGGAGGTTTTTTGCTTCTCCTGTAAAGTTACTATTTTGGAGACCAGGACAGGAAACAACCGAGTAGGAATTACTTATAGTCCTCTGATATGGATGACTGACCATAAGCAGATATGAATAGCGTCAGCTTAAAGCTGAGACTCTACACTGGTTCACTTAAAAGTTCAGTGTGGTGGAGAACAGAGCCAACAGAACATGTCCATTTACATACAGACTGCACTGTATGTCCCATTCACTGGTTATGAATCTGTGTTATACTGTATTGATGCCATGAATGGTATTGACATTAAACGTTTTTATTTCTGCAGATGGTTCGGGCGGCCTACATGTTCTACTTCTCAAAATACGTTGAACTTCTGGACACTGTAAGAATCCATTCTTCTCTATTAACCATTTTCATAACCATACACACTGATCAGGCATAACATTATGACATTATATTATTTTATCAGCTCCACTTACTATATAGGTGCACTTTGTAGTTCTACAGTTACAGACTGTAGTCCATCTGTTTCTCTGATACTTTGTTAGCCCCCTTTTACCCTGTTCTTCAGTGGTCAGGACCCCCATGGACCCTCACAGAGCAGGTACTATTTGGGTGGTGGATCATTCTCAGCACTGCAGTAACACTGACGTGGTGGTGGTGGTGTTAGTGTGTGTTGTGCTGGTACGAGTGGATCAGACACAGCAGTACTGCTGGAGTTTTTAAACACTGTGTCCACTCTAGTAGACATTCCTACCTTGTCAGTCCACCTTGTAGATGTAAAGTCAGAGACGATAGCTCATCTGCTGCTGCGCAGTTTGTGTTGGTCATCCTCTAGTCCTTCATCAGTGGTCACAGGACGCTGTTGGCTGGATATTTTTGGTTGGTGGACTATTCTCAGTCCAGCAGTGACACTGAGGTGTTTAAAAACTCCAGCAGCACTGCTGTGTCTGATCCACTCAGACCAGCACAACACACACTAACATACCACCACCACCTCAGTGTTACTGCAGTGCTGAGAATGATCCACCACCCAAATAGTACCTGCTCATAATGTTATGCCTGATCGGTGTACTGTTTATCCTTTCATAATCTGCCTGTAGAATAGTTCTGTGTGTTAATATAACAAGATTTCATAGCACAAAGTCATTCTGTGCCATTTCTCTTCGTCCATTTGTCATGAAAATTTCACACAGTGAAGAAGCATTGTCATATGGTGTAAAAAATTTAAAATAGAGTTCTACGGTATTAGAGGCTCCTGCTGCATCTACACTCACTGGCCATTTTATCAGAAACACCTAATAATATATAGGGCTCCTTTGTAAGTTTATAGTTACAGTCTTTAAGTGTACACCTATCCTGTGTAATAGGTGTTTCTGATAAAGTGGCCAATAGGTGTAGTTATTAGGAAGCCAATAAACTGTTATGTTATATCAGTGCAGGGGTGTCATTTCCTGTCCTGGAGGTCTTCCATGCTGCAGAGTCTGGCTCTGTCTGAGCTCTCCAGGCTGGCAGATCTCCAGGACCAGGACTGGACACCCCTGTATTAGCGTATATTGGTTGCTCAGAGCTCATTTGCCGAGTGTAAACATTCCTGTAGGTGTTTTTTGTGCTGAGGAAGAAGCACAGCCAGGTGACGTTCCTGCACGTCTTTCACCATTCCTTCATGCCCTGGTCCTGGTGGTGGGGCATCACTATCGCTCCTGGTGAGTTTTCGGAATGATTCATGATATCTTTTCTGTGATCGTTGTTTTGGGATCGGTGCCAAAATCGATTGCATGTGCCAAACAAGAAAGTCTGCATTAGTGACTGTGGTGTGGTTTACGTCTCCTGAGTGAGTCATTTTGCCGACGTTGGCCACAAGGGGGCGCAAACCTCTAAACTAACTTTTTATTTATTTATTTATTTATTTATTTTCAAATACATTGAATACATGAATGTAAGTAGTGTCAGGTTTGAAAATGGCCCAAACATTTTATTTTGGTCCACAAAATGAGTGCATACTTTAATCGTGTCGTTGCTATGGTAACCTTTTAATGTTCTCAACATTAATGTGCATTACTGTACTGCAAGGTTAGATTCCAAGTGATTTCCATTCATGAAATGTTCACACGATGTAAAAAATGTGCACTAATGGTAAAAAATAGTAGAAAAAAAAGTTACTGGCTTATACGAAGGTTTTCTTTTGACAGTGATTATAATTATAAAGTATAAATTAGATTATTTAAATGTAAAAAATAATGTTTTGTCAATTCTAACATCCCAAAAGGCACTTGAAACCTTTGAGTTGTTGCAGCATAATGCATTAAAAACACATCGCTGCTGTCAGAACAAAACCTCGTATCTCCAGAATGGTAACTTTACAGGAGAAGGAAAAAACACGCTTTACTTTTAATGTAAGTCAATGGAACCAGATTTTTTTCCAAGACATTTTGGGCCATTTCTTTTTTTTCCATTTATCATGAAATTTATCCATAATGTAAAGGGCAACAGGCATTTATAAATTATGTCAAAAACTAAAAAAACGAAAAAATGGAGGTACAAGGTTTTGTTCCAATAGCAGCGATGTGTAAAATAGTGTGAGAAGATTTACAGTGTAATTATTGCTGCTGTGCATACAGATTAAACTCTGAGTACGAGATGATGCTTGATGATCTGGATCAGTGATTGAAATGGACAGCCTGAGCACATGCGCTGGAACAAGGCATAAATCAGCCTTTTCACTTTTAGATAATGTGAACTGTGTTGCTACAGCAGAGCCATTTATATTGCATTAGCACTGTCCATCCGGATTAAACTGTAACAAAACACATTAAATGCTTATTAGAGCAGTGGAAGAAAGTAATAAGCCTGGATGAGTCATCGCCTGTTTCTCCTCCGTGTCGACTGGAGTTTGTGTGGAGGAGGCCGAAGGAAGCCTTGAAGCTGTGTTTTAAAAATGCGGTTGAAATTGTCAGTATTAAAGTAAAAGTTCAGTAAAAAATCTGGTTTATAGTTTCCCCTCTTACCTCAAATATAATCGCTAAAGACCTTTTGTACCGCTGAATGCTGTAGTCTGTTAGTGTCAGTGGTGGACGAAGTACACAAACCATGTACTTGAGTTAAAGTAGAGATACCCAAGGAAAAATATTACTCCAGTAAAAGTAGAAGTTCCTCCCTTTAGACCTCCACTTGAGTAAAAGTACAAAAGTATTTGCCTTCAAATGTACTTAAGTATCGAAAGTAAAAGTACTAAAAGATTAATTATGACTCTAATGTCCTGTTATCATTTCTGTAACAAGACTCGCTTCATTAACTCATTTTAGGTGAAAATACTCCAGTGTCTCTCTTGGTAAACCAGTCTTTTAATAGAATGTCATTAATTAGTGACGCTGATGTCTATTAAAATTATCATAAGCACAAAACACTGAAGGCGAACAGTTTCCATCAGGTAGAACTGAGTGGCTCTGAAATAACTAGTTTAATAAAAACTTGCTTTAAACTCAGATTCACAAATGAGTTTCCTTTACTAAACTGCATCTGTAGGTCTCTGTTCATAAACATAAACTAGCCCAAACAAACTTACTATAAAATGAAATCGTGTTTGTATAAATTCAGAAAAAAGACACGTCAGTCTCAACTGCATATGTGTACATATTTCTATATTGTGGTCTATTTACACAAAGTTAGGTTAGTTCATCATTTATGTTGAATAGACACCCAAAATTTTACGCTGCTGCACTGACGTTGAACCGTCTGCTGCACTGGGTCGGTATGACCAACAGGTCAAAACAAGCTCAAAACAAAGTGACCGCTGTGCCCTGATTGGTGTGCTGCTTCGCGCTTCTTTCTTTTTGACATGTTACGTTTTTATACACACATAAACCAAAAGGAGCGACGGATTTCTCATAATGTAGTGGAGTAAAAAGTGAGATATTTGACTTTGAAATGTAGTGGAGTGAAAGCAAAAAGTCCCCCAAAATGGAAAAACTTCAGTAAAGTAAAGTACAGATACACAAAAAAACTACTTGAGTACAGTAACGAATTACATTTACTTCATTACTGTCCACCACTGGTTAGTACGGGTGTGACAGATGCAGCTTGGTGCTAACTCCATGCCTAAACCATCACACTGTCTCAAAGTGCTCAAAGTTCCTGACCCTGTCTGAGAAGAAATCCAGGCTTACTGATTGCTGTTGCCACTGTTTTTAGCTGTGCTAACATACTTTAGTCCATGTTTGTATGACTCACTGTTATCTACAGTGTCAGAAACCACATAATCGAGTCTATTAGAGGCACTGAACACCTCCACAAAACCTTGAGTCAAAGATTAAGGCATGCGCTTAGCACCATGCTAATAAGCTTCCATTACTTGTTAGGTATGTTAGCCTCTTAGCTTCAGTGTGAAACTGAAGAAGCAAAACTTCTGACACCAAATGTGTCTCAGCTGATGGGTTACTTTTGGGGTAAGAGGGCAAATTGTGTGTTTTTTTGCCAAACTATTGCTTTAAAACTTATGTCAATAGGGACTCAGCTTTAGGTTTAGTACTGGAGCTATAAGGCTAATGCATTTAGCAAGTAATGGAAGTTTAGCGCCTGATAGCAAGAGGACGGTGGTCCACTGTCGGCCCGCTAATGGCAAAGCTGGCGGTCCACTGGCGTTTTGCTCAGCGTTTTCCGGGTGGCCCGCTGGTGGTTAAGCGGAGTATTAGACAAAAGTCCACGTATCGTCGCTCGTTTTCCACTCCCAGTTAAATTTACTTATTTTTCCTTTTCTTCCTTTCTTCATTTATGCTTTGTAAATTAGTTTAGTAAATAATTTTAATCTAGTTCAGTGTCAGCAACATTTTCTATAGAATTATTTTATATCAGGCCTGGTCATTATTATTTTTTTTTTTTTCCTCTCAGTTGTTTGTAAAATTTGTACAAGTTTATTTTCTAAAATAAAAGTCTCTGTGCATTTAAAATCTGTTTGAGGAGATTCAAAACTAGTTAGAGCTGGTATCCAGGACAATAATCTGGGCGGTCCGAAGGGGGACCAGGAGTGGCAAACAGTCAGTGGGGTGCTGACCTTGTCAAACCAGCGGACTGCTATATGCTTGCAGTCTGGGGCACTGGCAGTTAGCATTGTGCTAACTGCACGCCTAAATAATCAGACTTCAAAGCCTGTGGAGGTGTTCAGTATCTGTAATAGTCTTGATTATGTGGTTTCTGAGACGGTATGACTCACTGTTATCTATAAACATGGACTAAAGTACAGACAAAATTCAGACTTCAAGATAACTAATACCGCCGTTTTAGCTATGCAGCGCACTTTCATCCATTTCACCCTTTAAACTAATACAATTTCTATATATGATTACGATGTGAACAAAACAAGCAAAGGTGATTACTTGATCTGTATTAATGTGAATATTTTCCCTTGTCTTTGACCTTCGTTTGGACTGCAGCTGGTGGAATGGGGTGCTTCCATGCGATGGTGAACGCTGTGGTCCATGTCATCATGTACACCTACTACGGCCTCTCTGCAGCCGGGCCACGCTTCCAGAAGTATCTGTGGTGGAAGAAATACATGACTGCTATCCAGTTGGTTAGTATCTGTTTCCTTAAAGTGATAGTTTTGCAAAAAAAAAAATCTAATTTACACAGTTTTCCCTTTTATCGCAACTGAAATCTGGTCATATATGACATGTTTGCTGCATTTGTTTGCACCGGAGGCTAATATACACTATATGGACAAAAGTGTTGGGACACCCCTCCTATTTATTGAGTTCAGGTGTTCCAGCCACACTCATTGCTAACAGGTAGCTTAAATGTTAGATCTGCCCCTGTCAACTGTGTTTACAGTGACATTCACAATTATTGTGAAATGGAAATATCTAGAAGCAGCAACTGCTCAGCCATGAAGCGATAGGCCACTCAAACTCACAGTGGGGTCGCAGAGTGCTGAAGGGCACAGTGCCTATCTTTGGGTGAATCACTTACTAAAGAGTTCCAAATCGCATCTGGAAGCAACATCAGCAAAATGGGTCTCCATGGCCGAGCAGCTACACACAAGCCTAAGACCAAAATGCACAATGCCAAGCGTCGGATGGAGTAGTGTAAAGCGCCGCCACTGGACTCTGGAGCAGTGGAGACGTATTCTGTGGAGTGATGAATTGCACTTCTCTATCTGTCAGTCTGATGGACGAGTCTGGGTTTGGGGAATGCCAGGAGAACGTTACCTGCCTGACTGCACTGTGCCAGCTGTAGAGTTTGGTGGAGGAGGGATGATGATATGGGGCTGTTTTTCAGGGGTTGGCCTAGAACCCTTAGTTCCAGTGAAGGGGAACCTTAATGCTTCAGCAGACCAGGACATTTTGGACAATTGTACACTTCCAACGTTGTGGGAACAGTTTGGGGAAGAACCTTTTCGGTTCCAGCATGACTGAGCCCCAGTGCACAAAGCAGCTCCATAAAGGCCTGACTGGGTGAGTTTGGTGTGGGAGAACTTGACTGGCCCTCACAGAGCCCTGACCTCAACCCCATCGAACATCTTTGGGATGAACCAGAACGGAGATTGTGAGCCAGGCCCTCTCGTCCAACATCGGTGTCTGACCTCACAAATGCTCTTCTGGAAAAATGGACGCTCTCCAAAATCCTGTAGAAAGCTTCCCAGAAGAGTGGAAGCTGTTAGAGCTGCAAAGGGGGACCGACTCCATATTAATGCCTATGGATTTAGAATGGGATTCATAAAAGCTCCTGTGGGTGTGATGTGTAGGAGTCCCAATACTTTTGTCCATATAGTTTAGGTAACAACCCTGCTAGAAAAAAGAAAACAGCATAGACCAGCAAAACCTGTGTATGTTGTGTTTTGGATGCTGGTTTGCTGGTCAGCCAGTATGACCATGCTGAGTGACCAGCTTAACCAGCCCCAGGCCAACACTTGACCAGCGTTAACCAGTTTAGACCCGCATGGAATTCATGCTGTTTTTTCAGCAGTGTTTGAATGAAAATTGTTTAAATGTTCTCTTCTGTGTTCCTTTGTAGTCTCTTAGTATGAGTGTTACAGATGCTGCTTGGTGCTAACTGCACGCCTAAACCATCACACTGTCTCAAACCGCTGAGAGTTCCTGACTCTGTACGCAGAGAAACCCAGGCTTGCTGCTGCTACTGTTTTAGCTATGCTAGCATACTTTAGTCCATGTTTATAGATAACAGTGAGTCATACAGAGTCAGAAACCACATAATCAAGTCTATTAGAGGTACTGAACACCTCCACACGCTTTGAGACAAGTCTGTGAAGATTTAGGCCTGCAGGTAGCACCAAGCTAATAAGCTTCCATTACTTGTTAGCCACATTAGCCTCTTAGCTGCAGTGTAAAATATGAAGCAAACTTCAGACACTAAATGTGTCTCAGCTGACTGGTTACTTTTGGGGTAGGACTGTTTCTTTGCCAAACTATTGCTTTAAAACGTTTGTCCTGAGCTAGCATCACTGAACAAGGCCCAAGACACCAATCCAACAAACGCTAATGCCCATACTCATACAGAAATCTCATATATGGCAATATATGTCGTATATTTGAAACCAATATATTAGCATATATGTATTTCCCTTATGTCCATCTTGGTCACATTTGGATATTTATGCCAACGTTGTCAAATCTGGGACATATTTCAGTGATATATCAACATATCTAAGCATATATGTAAAACATTTAACAATATATGATGGAAAACATTTATTCCTGTATGGATGACATGTATTGCTCTTACATATTAGCTACAAGTTATACCTTTTCATTGCATGTATGTTGCTAGTGTATATTATTTTCTTTTATTTAATTTTTTTTATAATAATATAATATAGTGTGTGTGTGTGTGTGTGTGTATGTATGTGTGTATGTGTGTATGTATGTATGTATGTATGTATGTATGTATAACATATAGGTACATATATTTTGGAATATATATCTGATCCTTTATGATATAAGCTCCCTGGACAAAAAATTAGTCACCTTGCATGTTTAAGGTGGTAGTAACTTCAGGCTCCTTCAGATGGCGTTGCACGAGGATGGTATGCGGGGTGTGCAACGGGATTCATAGATTGAGAAGAGGTGGTACAGTGCAGTGAATGTCTTGTTCAGATGTTAATGATTGGCACAAAGGAGTGATTATATTTGGGCGGCCAAAGGCCACAGCGTGAAGGAAGTAGCTGAATTTGCAGGTGTATTGAAGCGTACGGTCGTACGGGTCGACCAGCAGATTACAGGAAATTCTCATCAGAATTGTGGCCAAAAGACAAAACCGATGGACAGGGACCACTGGTGTGTTTTACGGCTTATGAATTAAAAGTTCTTTCAGAAATTGGTTATGAAGGACCTGCGTTGAGTTCAAGAGGCAATTCTTGTTTGGAAGTGAAGCAATTTTTATTCAGTGATTTAGTCACCACCTTAAACAGCCAAGGTGTCCGGGGGCTTATGTGTGTATATGGCCATATATCAGATTTCCATATCGGTTACACATTTCATTGGTGTGCTGTCCCCTATGTGTGATTACTAGGAGAATCTAGAACGTTCTTCCCCCATTCACAATGTTCTGAGTTCTTTTTCCAAACAACTGCCAGCGTTAGACTGCTGATTAATTCCTCTCTGCTTTGTTTCCGCTCTGCAGACTCAGTTCATCGTGGTGTCCGTCCACATCTCTCAGTATTACTTCATGGAGAAGTGTGACTACCAGGTGCCCATCTTCATCCACCTCATCTGGATCTACGGCATGTTCTTCTTCGTGCTCTTCTCCAACTTCTGGATCCAGGCTTACGTGAAGGGAAAGAGGCTTCCGGCCTCCAAGGAGCAGAAGCCCAAGCAGAACGGCTTTACTAACGGCGAGGCAGTGGCAGTGGCCAACGGGAAACACATGGACAATGGCGCTGTCCACCACAGCAATGGATTTGCCGTCAATGGGAAAGTAAAGGAGGTCTAACACGACCCAAAACGTTCTGCTGAAAGCACCACAGGACTCGTAAACAGTGACACATGTTCTAAAAGATTGTTCCTTTATTGACGTGGATATTTTTGTGTGATTGCACGGGAGATGACATGGCACGCTGCATGCGACGGTCAGTTCTTTATTTTTGTATTTATTGATGTTTCGAGAATCTGACTGGGGAGCACAATGCATGAAGAGAAGATTTCCCCTGAAGTCCGCTTCACTGAAGTTGCTCTGGAGCATGGCTGCACCAGCCTGTCTGTGATTAGACCCCACTGATTCTTCCTGTTACAGCATATATGATTCTCCTGGTTGCTTGAGAACAGTGTATATTTCCTCATGGATCTAACTCTAGTATGACTGTAAATAAGTATTTGTTCAAAAATAGGTGGGATTGATGTAATGAGTTGCTTTTCATTCTATGTAACTTAAAAAATAAACTTTTTTATGTTAAATATAATTCTGATGCCTATTTATAGTGCTAGGCTGAACATTATGTATACAATGTATAAAGACTGTATGCATAGCTATTGTATCTCACATTACATTGATGACCACTTGACCGTTTTGTATGTGCTTTCACAATCTGAAAATTTAAACGATGAAATCCATGAAGACGTGGCACATCTTTTCTTTTATATTTGATATATGGCCTTATTATGACACTGAGATGTAAACAGAGTCATTCAGAGTGGTTTGGTGTGAAAAGGTTCAGATGTCTTTACAGTGGTGGTGATGGGAACCAGGGGTCGCCATGACTACAACACAAATATAGACATTTTATTTACTATCCAAAACCACCAGTGAACCTACACGAGTCTTCTGAGTTTATATGGAATGTTGATGATGGAAAATAGTGGAAAATCAGAAAATAATACATTTTTGCTGGGGACTGTTTTGCCTCACAACACCCTGCATGTACCCCACCACCATAAGTGGAGCTTTATTTTATTTTAGGCCTAAATATTCTCAAAATAACTTCTCAGGCAGTGAATTCATAACCATTTCATGTAATAACTTTCTGTGAGGGAGCTTTTAGAGGTGGACGTCTGGTTCCTATCACCACCACTGTGAACAATTTTGACTCTGTAATTTTCTCTAGAACAGCATTTCACACCAAACCACTCTGAACAACTCGGTTCACCTTTTAATTATACAGATTTTAGTTTTTTAACTGAAAAACTAACTATGCAGAGCTTTTCAAAGGTCCTAAAATGCTTCACTGGAACATCCAGACAGCAGTGCATTATGGTAGTCAACTACTACAACATCCAGTCTTTTATGTCTATTATACAGTCCTCAATCTTATTAAGCTGAAGTGCATCATCACTTTTGGTTGAGATATATAATTTTATTTATAAATATATATAAAGTGTCATCAGTGTAGCAGAGGAAATTGATGCAGTTTACTGATAATGGTACCCAGTGGTGGCATATATAATGTAAATAACAGAGACCCTAAAACGGAGCCTTGTGGAACACCATACTTTACTTTTGTAAGAACAGATGATTTGCCATTTACAAACTGATAGCGAACAGTGAGGTAAGATCTGAACCAGGAAAGAGATGTTCCTGTTACTCCTACAAGACTTTCTAGTCTATCTAGTAAGATAGTTCTTGATCTTGGTGGGTCATTTGATATGATACTCTAGCAAAGATACATTTCCTTGGTCAGAGAAATTAATGAAAATTGTAGACAATCATGAAAATATTCTAAGAAACAGATCAGATCTTTGAAATAGGTATTTGCAAAAATACATTGAGGTTTTTAATCTGGCTCATTTATTTAATAGTACATGACAAATTTCATGAGACATTGTAATGAATGACAATCCCAAATGTGAACTTTATCCCACTAAAGAAATTCCAAACATTAGAAAAAAATATTTGTATTAATGTTTGGCATAAAATACATAACACTACATATAAAAACACATGGTACAGTAAAGTTTGTGGGCACAGATGCTAGAATAGGACACATTCATGAAAACTAGTGATTCAGAATTCACCTGCTGTAGTTTGATTTGTGCCCAGTAGATGGCAGTAAGTACACTGAAAAAAGATGGTACTTGAAAGGTTTCTTTAGTAAAGAAAACTGTTCTATATAGAACCATGAACACTAAGAACCCCTTGCATCTATAGCACCCAAAAGTGTATTGTTACAAGCTTGACACCAACATAGAAGAACGCTTATGGGTGCTATAGAACCATTTATAAAAAGGCTCTAAATAAAACTGTCTACAGCACATTCATACATTGTCCATCAATCTGAAAGAACCCTTTCACCATGCAAAGAACCCTTCAATCATGCACAGGGTTCTTTGCCCATGCTTCTATATAGAACAATTTTCTTTACTAAAGAACCCTTTGGAGAACCCTCTTAAGAGTATATGCAGCCTACAAAATTACTGAGAGTTGGATTTGTTCAAGGTAACGAAAGCAAAACTTTACACTGTTTGATCAGGTGTCATTAAAACCAGTCCTACATTAAAACTGCAACACCAAATCCAGACCCATTCTGTCCCAACAGCGCTCCAAAAAGAGCCCTTAGCGTTTGCAGACACCAGGGACTGAAGTCAACAGAAGAACTGTACATAACTCAGAACATGCAATCAGGATTAAACTAAGGTTAAAAAGCTTTATTTCAAATTTACAAAAACTCCTTTATACATAATTTAATCTGTAAACAAGAGAACAGCTGCGTTAAAACTCTTCCTGCACTATCTGATGTGCTGCTGGATGATGCTGCTGCTGGCGCCGGCAGGTTTGGCCTTTTTGGAGGGATCCTTCTCGAAGCACTTCCACAGCCGGAGAGTTTCATCAGCGCTTAAGGAGGCAACCGTAGAGCCGTCAGGGCTGAGGGACAAGTTCAGAACTCTGCCCTCATGACCTAGGGTCAAAAGCAGAACAATGTTTACTCATTTAGAAGTGACCATTCTGGCACAGTGAATGTAAATAGTTCAATTTCCATCCAAATGATTTGTGAAGAGTACAGGGTGATTCAAAAAGATTCATCCGATTTCAAAGCGCCACATTTTTACCACCGTGAGGTGCCTAGGAACCAATCACAATCCAATTGAAAGAGGGGGTCAGAGTTTAACTGTCACCAGAAGATGGCTGAGAGGAGATGAGACCCCTGAGCAGAAAGCGTTCTGCGTTCTCCACTTCAATAAGAGTGAATCAGTCATAACTGTGCAGTGTGATTTTCGTGGTCAGTGAAGCTCCAACAGCTCAGAGCGTTCGTCGTTGGTTCCACAACACTGGATCTCCGAAATCGCACTGAAAGAGCTGTGAGTGCAGCGACACCCTGACATGCTCAATCCAGTATGGGATGAATCTGACTATGGCGTTGATGTTGTCTGTACAGCTGGAGGAGGTTCATACTGAGACCTTGTAAAATTACATAAACTTTATGCTCATTTAAACCATTTACAGTTTACTGCATTGTTCTGTAATGATTTACAAGTGAAAAATCATTTTGAAATCAGATGAATTTTTTGAATCACCCTGTATTTTGATGCTTCAAGAAGTGTCACATCTTAGAGTGGTTGCAAAGCAGAAATCTGATTACTGTGACTCATGTAGACCTGAAGTTTCCCCCCATTATCTGATTACTCAAGTGCACGTAAAACACACTGAACAAGTTACTGACATTTCCTGCAGTTATCAGATTAAGTGCATGTAAACAATGACATTGTAAAATGGTTGAGCACTGTTAGTCTTGCACCCTCAGTGGAAATGTTTTTCCACTCAAAATAAGACCTGGTGCTGTCTTGGATGTTTGTGAACTGTTTTAGGCAATTAGAGCTGGGACTCACCTTGAAGATCTGTAACTTTAGCAAGGGAGGGATACTTCCAGATGGAGACCTGGTCGTGTGCAAAGCCGTGGCCAGAGACCAGTTCTTTGTAGTTTGGTGCAAATACCAGTGATGACACCTGAAAGTTATTAGAAAATTATAGAAGTTATAGAAATTAGTACATTTCAGATGCTTCATGTGCACATGTGTGCAGTGTGGGATGCTGGGGCCTCACCTGAGACTGTGTGTCCCATGCGGTGATGCAGGAGCCACTGTTGACGTTCCAGAGGCGGATGTGGCGGTCACTGGTGCCCCCTCCTGTCGCAAGTATGCTGGACTGCCAAGGACACCAAGCTAAAGCCTGAATGTAAAACACAAATGGAGAGGACATGAAAACAGCAGCAGTAATGAACCCATAAATTAGGCAAAATCAGGAATAACCAGAGAAAAGAACATAAATGCACTCCAGCCATGTTTTAACCCTTTAACACAGCTGACAATTAGCTTGCTTATTAAAACAGTATCATTCTGCTAGCAGGCAACTAAATCTAAAACACTTAGTTTGTAAATGTTTGCTTTTAGAAGGGAAATTCCACCTGTTCTCAAAATTCTACATACATGGTTAACATGTAAACAAAGCCATTCAGAGCGGTGTGGTATAAAATGCTTCGTCCTAAAGAAACAGTTGCTGGATTCATGAAAGCTTTAAGAAAAAAAAAACAAAAACACACCTTGTTTAAGTTTAAGACAAACACTAAATTTGTAAGAATGTTCTTAAATGCAATTCTCAATTTATGTATTTTATGGTGCATTTTACAGCTAACCATAAGTGCAAGATACATTCATTTGTATTAACTGTTATTTCCATTATTTAATCCACTCGGAGGAGCAATAATGGAGGAAATGCATCAAACCGAGCTTTTAAAAACATTAACAAAGAAGAACTAAGTGATGGTGAAAAACCAGCTAACAGAAACAAAAACCCTCCTTGGAAAAAGTGATAATTGGGGTGACTGGGGAAAGCAAGAGACGAAGATGTGCAGGAGTAGCAGAGGCAGCATCCGAGTGACAAATTTAGATGCTCCATTAAAACACATTTATGAAGATCAAGAGATTCATAAATACAGTGCCAGATTCTCAGTGGTGGTGATGGGAGCCAGACATCTGAAGAGTTTAAAGCCTCTAAAAGCATCCTCACATTTAGATGAAAGTGAATACGCTGCATTAAACATTTTACAATAGTTAAGATTTTTGTCTACAA